GAAGATGAAGATGAAGATGAAGATGAAGACGAAGATGAAGATGAAGATGAAGATGAAGATGAAGATGAAGAAAAAGTAGACTGTAATGTTCGACCTGTAATTCTCGCAGGAGATTTCAAAGTCTACTTTTTTCTGGCAAAATCTGATGAACTGGCAATATTTTTTAAAGAAAAATTTTCACTGGAAACGGTTAATGGTAGAAATTATCCAACAACCAAAGTAGCTGCTACCATTGATGCGGCTTTTTCCAGAAATATTAATAATATTGAAATAAAACGTTTCGTATCTTACTTTAGTTACCACAATCTACTAGTTAACATTGTAGATGTGTATGCTTTCTCAGCCACAAATAATAAATAAACTTTGCGGTTGGTCATAAAAAATTAAAAATTAAAAGTGGTAAAAAAAAAATGTTAATGAATATATTTTTGTATATTAGAAAATATGTGCATGTGTATGTAGTATAACGCACATTTCTTTCTTTCTGGCATTTCCTCTATTAAGTTTCACTTTTTCCGCGCGTAGGGACTACGCGTACTGAGTTTTTTTTTAGTTGATACTTTGGCCTTTGGAATGGACCATATGGAAAAATCCTTTGCGTTTAAGTCCTGTGAATATGATGGCCATTGTTTGCGAAGAAATGAAGCTTGGAAGTTTTGTGGGATGGTGACGAGTCTTATTTAAACGTCCAAAGATTTCTATCGAATTGTTTTCGTGCCCAAGGTAACAAAGCAGTGTTTACAATCTTTTCACGGTAGATTTGTTGATTTGCCGTTACGTCCTGTTCAATATAAAATTGTAGTAGACGACATTAGATGGGTACATCGAACAGTAATACATTTTTCATAAACCCTGGCTAGATAAAATTATAGCATTTTTAATTGGTAACACTTCGAGCGCCTACTCCTGTATACATTTGTTTGTCTGCAATATCCGACGTTGTATCTCATCGTATAACCTCCAGTTGGGAAATAAAACATTCTCAAGTACAAAAGCGCATATTTTTCACATGAAAACAGAGATTGGCACGGAATATCGGGGCAAGCGGGCGGAACCGGACCAAAATTATTTCCCAACACTCCCGATAAAACCTGCAACCTCCCCAAATTCCGGAAAATCTTCATTAAAAACATCGATTGAAATAAGCATTTTTTGTTTGTTTTATTGAGACGAAAACGAATAGCAAAGCAAAAGAAAATAATCAGAAGATGTTTGATCTTTTATTTTCTTAATATTTAAAATTGATTTGAGAGACATGTGAATATCGGGACTCACGAGACCCGCGGTACAATTTTGAAAAACGCCGGGAAGGACGGGTTCGTGAATTAAATTTGAATTTCGGGATGAGCGGGAAAGGGATTTCATTAATTGTTCATTTATTTAAATAAATGAAGTTACATATATACATACATATAAACATTACGAATATGTACTATGCACTTTCTTTTAAAAATGGAGGAAAAAATCTGTTGAAAACGGATTGTTTCTAATTTTCTGCATGTCTTTATATTTTGCATGTTTTTAGCGAGTTTGTTATTAGAAAAGTAAAAATATTTGCATTTTTGATTCCGTATTTAAATCCAAAATTGGCTTAATAAATATCTGAGGAGAAATGCCTTAACCCACGAAGTCATGTGTATTATAAACATTGTTTGAGAAGCTCTCCTACCTTGTTTTTGTTATTTATGGCCTTATAACAATTATATTCAACAATTTTTATTTTGAGGCCGTTTTTAATGAAAAGCTATTGTGGAAAAGCAACAATAATTTGAATAAAATGGAAGAAGTGATAGCTATTTCGGAAATCACCACATTTCCTCATCAGACTTCATTCAGTGGGATTCCATCCAACGACCCCAGCTGGCTCATCCTACCTTAAAATGAATAATAAATAAATGGGTTCGAAACCTACTTTTTTATCTCAACTGGGGTTTTTATTT